AAGAAAATGGTAAGAAACTCGAGTCCTCCAACTGCACAGGCTGCCCAAAGGGCAAATTTCAATGACTCATTTCCATCCCTTTGGGAATATTTTCGTTCCAGCGGATGAACTTTGTTGGAACATTGTAACTTGAAATCTTGAACACTTTTACTGTAAAAGGAGACAGTGGCCTTGGGCACTTTCACATAGGAATCAGCTTTAAAATTTGGTGGGCGATGTCCATTCAACAATTGTGTCTTGGGAATACAGTATATACCATCTGATCCATGGGCTGTAAAAAATCCGAATTGAAAACCTTTGCAATCGCACAACTGCAAGCATATTTTCTTGCAACCCTTTAAGGTGACATTAGTATACAATCTGAAATCATAGCCATAGAATTCAACATGGCGGAGTTTCAGGAAACCAACCTCAGTTTGGTTACAAGAAAGATGAAAATCTGGTTCACAGCCGAGAGACCAGTCAGTACGAATTTTCATCTTATACCCTGGAATGCAAGAGCATTTCCTGCCAAAATTTGGAATATAAATGCATATGCTGTTTGGTCCACAACATCCATGAACCATGCATGGTTGAGGGAAGGCTTGCCATGAAACAACCCAAGTTTCTCCGTCCTCTTTTAGACTATACAGTCGAATGTTACCATCAAAATCCATCCTCAACATTCTTGAAATCTTTGAGCCATAATCAGCTGACAAGAAAGTAAAATCATCAGTTGAGCTAAACTTTCCCAAAGAATCCAGAACTGCATTTTTGCTATTATTGAACACGGACCTTCCAGCTTGCCATCTCAAAAGCCATGGACTTGGCCAGTAAATGGTTGTAAACTCAGGACCTTTGTACACAAGGCAGAGAACATTATCGGAGTCAAAATAAAGCTGAAAATAGCCCGAGGAGAAGTTTCCTTGGCTTCTTGATGAGATGAGCTTTGAGTTTTCATTGAATAGTTGAAGAGGAAGCAGAGTATCCGTGGGTGAATCGTAGCTTTGCCACAATATAAGGCCTTCCAAGTTACGCAAGACAAGATTACCACCATCTTCAAGTTTCAAATAGGTAGGGGACTGCGACAAGGTTTTCGTTTCCCATACAGTGATTTGAGCAGCATCTCTTAAAACAAGATTACCTGATTCCAGTAGACAGAGCTTTGAGCATCTACCATTGACTGGTTGGTCCCTATTTGCCATCCAAACTATAGTGCAACTGTTAGCACCACAGGATGGTTTATTGAACCATATTGCAAAGGAATAAGCATTCTGGCCAATAGGGTGGAAACCAGCACTGAAAGTGCCATCAGGTGAAGTCAAGACATCAGCTGCATTCTCCACCGATAAGGATGTGCCCGCCCATAGACCATCAGAGGATGAAGATGAAGGTAGGCAACAAAAAGCCAAAGACGAAACGAATAGGATCAACGGTGCGGCCATGAAAAATATTGTGAAGATATATTGAAGACAGGCAACTAATAAGCCAGAGGGGTGTGTACAAGTTTCATGTGAGTGACTGTAAACGGAAAGACTAGAGAGTGCAAAGCTTTAATTCCAAGACGGTTGACAGGAAACTGGCTAATCACCCAGAGGCAGAGCAGTTTAAATTTAATTTGTTATCGTGGCAAGTGGTTTGACAGGAAAATTGGGTCTGCTATCTGATTCGCCAATAAAGGCAACCCTTGTGAAAATCATGGCAAGTATATTACAGGAAACCCTTAGGAAATTTAATGTGAATGATTGCAAGGGTTTCCAAGGAAAAGGGTCAATGACTTCAACCATGAATTTCCATTTCCCGAATTACTGTATTACAGCTTGACTTACCGTTCAGTTTGTAGAAATTAAGTCATTTGACTCTTAAGAAAATCATCTAATGAATAAATGAAGAAAACAAAATGTTCATAATTACAGGAAACAAACCGAAACAGTTCGGCTTATTCATATAGGGAAGTAAATGTTTGTGTTAATTTCTTAGCCAAAATAGGAGTTTCTAGCAGCAGGATTTTAATGTTTTTGTTGAATCTCTTAATGATTTAGGTCTTTGTCTGTTTGCTGATACTGTTAGAGTCGTATTTTCCAAAATAGTTTTGATGTAACTTATTTTTAATTTGATTATTAATCTAACTATGTCCGTTTCATAAAAATAATAATAAAGAAAAGAAAGGGAAAATAGTAAAGATACAACCAACAAGCAGGATTAATGCCCGAATTCATCCCTGCCTAGTAAACGGCAAGTACAGACAACAATAATTTATTAAGTTAATGAAGACTCCAAAAACAATAGTTAATAAAGTTTAAAAAGACGTTTTGAAAAAAATAAATGGTGCAATATGATAGTTACTTACACATTGCATGTGCATATAAAAAGCACATTTATTAAGGTACTTAAACCCACAATTTGAGACTTTAATTTGTATGTTTTGCAATATTCTGAGTTCTTATCACTCAAATTGCTAGTCCATGACTTGCATTTACATACATCCAAAATTTCAGTTTAATTTTTCTCAAAATTAAAAAATAAAAATTTAAAACTTAATTCAAATGGTTCATCTTTTTCTTTTGACAATTGGATTTCAATATTGCGATAATTCGACCTTAACTTAATTTCTTCAGATCTTGATTTCATTTAGACAATAAATAAATAAAGGAATTACCAAGCTCATAAAGAAATAAACTGCATGCCAATTCATATTTAGGATTTGAAAAGGCGCAAACTTAACAGCCTTCAATTTGGCTTTTCTCTGTAGTCTCCTCATAATTAATTTTTAACATGCAACAGAGAAACACCTTTACGACTGTCATTCCCACGCCTTTGAAAACTGGCATATTTAATTTGAACCCAAGAAAATTTAAAGAATGGCAGCACTGCATGTGAACCTACAATATTATCTGATGACTTATTATTTGAATTTCAGTAGAATAAATTTATGATTGTAGCAATAGACACATATCCCAAATGAAATGTACAATTAACACAATGTTAATGTTAAATTGACTTTAATTGGTTTTCTCAGAAAATTGACCTACAAAAAATGATGAGTATTAGTATTTGAAATGTTCATCTGGTCAAGAATCCCGATTGTTTAAAACAATACCAAAAATGGAAATTAGACTTGCCAAACCATCTTCCAAGTTCTAATAAGCACGTTTTAACCTCTGGATCCTGCAAAGAAATTTCAATAATTCGAGTGGTTGGAGTTATTAGGAAATCATAGCAAAAATGAAATTTAAATGCGACTGAATGACATAAGTTATCAAACGTTTATCTTTCAGTTTCCACTAATCTCCGAAAGGAATAAATAGTATAAAAGTTAATATTTGATATATTAACTGTGTATTATTATTATACACTATCAATTAATAATATGATGATATTTTATTTAAGAGATTATATTTGATACATTGTCAGTAAATAAATTTTATATATTATCAGTGAATCAGATGATGATAACTCATTAATGAATAAATATAAGCCCTTAAAATAAATGTATATAAATTAAAATTTTTTAAAGAATTTATTCATTAATTATGTGTTATCATCTTGTTTATCTCATTGATAAATTGTCAACATCTAATTCACTGATAGTGTATCAAACATAAACTCTTTATTTAATGAATAAAAATTAAACTTTCAGATTTTTAAAAAAAATCTATATTTGATATATTATCGATGCATGAATTTTATATACTGTCAGTAAATCAAATAATGACATTTTATTAATAAATAAATATCAACTTTTAAAATAAATGTAAACAAATTAAAATCTTTTAAAAAATTTACTTAGTGTTATCATTTGATTTACCTCATTAAATGAGTTACTATCATCAATTCATTAACAGTGTATATTAAATATAAATTTTTTTAAAAATAAATATTATTAAATTTATTTTAAGGTTAATTAATTATTAAAATTTTACTCTCTCCTAATATTTTTACTGCCTCCCTCTTCAATATTTTGAAACCCTCACACCCATTTCCACTCTTACCATTTCGACTTATATTCTTCCAAATTGTTGCCGGTTTTCGCACAGAATCGAAAATTGATGAATAATGGAACATCCATTCTTTCCATCTATGGCTAGTTCCGACAGCATTTATGTGTAAGAACTTGGAACCAAAGACATTCACTTCTTGAATACTAATTTGCAGGTTGCAGTTTTAATTTACTCTCATGCCAGAAGAACTAAAAACTGTACCTTAAATAGGGTTAAAAACGTTTTCATCATTTCTGTTCTGACCAGGTTCAGTCAGTGGACGTCTGAGAGTTTTTTTTTTTCGTGAGTTCTTGTTCACTTTATTTCTCTCTTATAAACGGTGTTTTAGGTAGTAAATCATATTGGCTTAAAGCTTGAAATCATATTGGCTCGTTATACAAATCATATTGGCTTAATAGTTTTGTGTCTGAGCTTGAATTTGATTTGGCATCGATTAGTATGCCAAGCTTATTTAGAATTTATCAAGCCAAAGATCAAAATAAAAACTCAAGCTAAACCAATGCAAGTTCAGAAGTTCAGCTGATCAGCTGATCAGCTTGATTGCAGTCCTACCTACAAATGGAACAGAGGAACAAATACTGCTAACAAATCTCCCTTCACTCTATTGTTTGTTGTCTTTTTCGAAGAAGAGTACAAAACTAGTATTAAACTTGTAAAACAAGTTCAGTTGGCTTAAGTCAAATCCACATGCTTCCTCTTGATAGCTAAAACTTAAGGGGTTGGGGTTGCTTGAAGGTATAAATCACATTACTGGTTCCACCTACACAGGAGAAAATGACAAAAATACGGTCCCATTCCTATACCGGCAATTTGGCCATCAAAGATATGTACTCCTCACATGCAACCCCGACAACAGTGACAATTTGGAAGCCTAACAAGTAACTAATTAACCCATTTCCTCTTCACTGAAATGCAGAAAAATCAAGCTGAAAACCTGAAACTAGTTCCAGGAAACAAAAGGAAAGAAACTGAATTTAGGCCTTGATGCCAAGGTAAGATACTAAATATTCCTCAAGGGAAAAGGACTAACAATACGACAATATCCTTCTCAGGTACTTGGCTCATGCAGAAAACACATATAAAATGCAATAACAAAAGTACTAAAACCCAAACTCACTGTCTCTTACAATCTGGCCATGGAAAAAATTGGCAGATAAATGTTAGCTGTACCAGACATCAACAAATACTACGAATTGGACCCCCTGCTTTGTTCTGCCTACCCAGTACCCAGGCTTATCTTTCCAAATCGAATCCAATCTATTCACCATTTGCCAGTCTCACCAGCCCCCCCCTCGTTGGCCCTTGCCACTTTCCTAATAAAAATGCGTTTCAAGAACACCTTCAAAACAGCAATATTAAATCTAGAAACCATAAATTAAAGGAATAACCGGTTCGTTTCATACTTAACATTCGTACAGAATTACAGATCTAGTTCAGAAAACCCCAGCTTAGGTACAAAAATTCCAAAATTAAAGAAATAAAAAAAAATCCCAAGCCAAATACAAGAAGACAATGCCAAAACTACAAAAAAAAAACCCCAAAACTAGAAATTAAGAGATATATTTATATTTGATTCATTTATTTATAATGCTATATATAGTAAGTAATTAATTAGAATTATCTGCCTCTGTTAGTGAAATTCATCTTCTCATAATACTGAATAGAGAGAAGAGACAGACAAAGATTAACCTCATCTTTCCCCCACCGAGCAGGCGGCTTGGAGTTAATAATCTTGCGAAACGGAGAAGCCCAAGACGAAGCTGAAGCACCTTGAGGCTTAGAAAGCGGCCCAAGGTAAAGCGAGTGAAGACGGCGGAAGCCACCAAGAGGCAAAACCACAGATCTAAGCTGTTGGGTTCCACAGCCGATGTTAGCCCAGTGCCTGGTACAGATCAGCTCCCAAAGTCGCTCGTCTTTGGCGGTTTTGAGCCACAGCTTGCTAACACAAGAGGCTATCGCTAAAGTCCTCGCGTCAACATGTTTGAAAACCTCGTACAACAGATTTTCATCTAAATTCATCAACCCACCTTCTTTATCTTCATCAGCGTCTTCTTTTGTTTTCTTCATTTTCTGGTCGGTTCCAGGTACCTGAGAATCTGGGGCTCTCCGTTTCATTGCCAAAAGCTGAAACCTCGATTTTGGGGTATATTTTTAATCTTTGACGATGAAATTGAATTGTAAATAAAGAGAAGTGGTCGGATGGCGGGGTGATGGTAACGCGAGCTGATTTTGTTGGGTATCGAAGCAGACAAGAGGACAAATGAATATGGCAGTGGGGGGGTTCGATTCCTCTGTTTTCTTTTTATTATTTTTCTTGATAATGAATTGACAAGTTTGTATAAAGTTTTGGTTTTAATATTATCTTTTGCCATTTTGTGTGTTTTCTTTTCTGAGTCAAGACATGGGCTGTAAATCTTTAACTGACTTATCTGGTGTCTTGCTTCTGTTTTCCACCTGGTTTTGCCTTGTTTTTATTCAAGGAATATTGAAGCTATTGCTGCAATTTTTTTTTATGCACATAGATCAGCTTGAAATTTCTCTAGCGAAGTGATAAAATGTGAATTGGTTACTGTACAGTTTGAAGTTGATTTTTTATCAAATTGATGGGTTGAAATCCTTTCTCAAATTGAAAATGAATTAGAGTTACATAATTCAACACCGGCTTAGCATATATGACAAGCTATTTGTCAATTTCTTTTACAAAAGAGAAAGATGGAAGGTTCCTTGATCCTAGCTTATAGACAAACTTAGATTGCAAATTGCAACTTATTTATTCCGAATGATTAACCAAATCCCATTACCAATGACAGCAGCACAGCAATGTTAAGATCTCAAAAGTTTGTAATCAACCTAAAATCTTCTCTTTTTTAGTGTAAAAAAAGTTTTCACTTAACTTGTAAATATTGGTCAAATTTTCAACTAAATAAGGTTTGAATAGGATTTTATAATTTAAATTAATGTTTAGTTAAAAATAGTTAAAATACTATTTTTAAAAAATTTTACATTTAATACATTGTTTTCATTAAAATCAAAGAAATAATATATTAAATAAAGAAAAATATGTCCAATTACACTCATTAAATTTTAAATTTTTATTTAAATTATAATTATATTTTTAAAAATCTTAAAAGTAGTGCAATTTAAATCTTTATTCTTATTGTTTTATTAATGTATTAATTGTTGAACTAAATAAATATATTTATTTGTTTAGTACTTGTTATATTATAATTGAATATAATGTATTAACATGTAAAATAACTATAATTGATTTAAAACGATTGAATCGAAAATCAAACCTTCAACGGATTCAATGTTGAGCTAAAAGCCTTCAATTTAATCACATTAGCGGAAGCAAAATCAAACAATAAATCAAACACACAAGAGACAATAATTTAACGTGATTCGATCCAATTGACTTATATCCACAGATGAGAAACAAGATCCATTAGTTGTAGAAAATTACAAACATACATCAAATCATCAACCTGACTCAACAATCAATACTCATAAGACACTCTCAATCTTCTCTAGTCTTATAGAGTATTCTCAATCCAAACAAACACAAATCCAAACCCTTGTGCACTCTTTCAACATAACTAAATACATACTCATATGCTCCCATACATCATACCTATGTGGATCCTCTCAGTCTCCTCTAGTCCACTCACAAACAAACATATACACTCATAAGACGTAGAGCCTCAATACTCCTATAGAGTATCTATCCCATAAAACCTTACAACTCACTTATATCTTTTTCTCATACCTAATCTTGTAGAGACTTCACCTATTTATAATCATACAAACTTGTCCATTAAAAATCACTCTCCTTTTAGAATTCTTTTCTTATAAGTCAAACTTACATATTAAGAATCCCTTTCCTTTTAAAATTCTTCTCTTGCAAGTCAAACTTACCTATTAAAAATCTTCTTTCTCTTAAAATTTTTTTTTGTAAGTCTTTTTATCCATCAAATAATATCTGATAAATTTCAAATAAATCTTTAATAAATCTCAAACAAATCTCTTATTAAATTTGAGTCAATATTTTCAACACTCAACACCTCCAAATTTGTTTATTAAAATATGTTATTACGTCAAGTTCAATCAAAATTCATTTGACAAAGTCGACACCAAAATTTTGTGGTAAATGAAACCAAATAAGAAAAATAAACCGAACACAGGTTAATGTTCAAAGTCAAAACAACAGGGCTTTAACTTGCGACCGGATCTGAAGAAAACAGAGTGACATGTATGATACATTGGTTGGAGGAAGTGACAAAGTTACCTGAAATCGGAAAGGTAAGAACAAAGGCGAGCTGGGTAAAATGAAAGCAAGTTATGTGGTTGGGACTAACCCACGTTATTAGGGTTTTTTTTTTCTTGTTTCTTTCTCACATATCAATAAAACTTTGTTCTGGCGCCAAGATTCCGAGCGTAATATTTTGAGAAATCCCCCGTGAAAATGATGTTTTTGTCGTTGTCTCACTCTCCGTTATCTCCAACCGGATCATCTTCCGGTCCAAAAAGTTTTGTTTCAATCTGCAAATGAATAAGACATGATGTGATTTGGGGTTACGCCGCTTGATGTCATTAGAGATTGACTACGCGGATTTTTATTAAGGAAAAATTTAAAAAAATGATTACCGTATCTCTGATTAAGCGTCTAAAACAAAACAAAAAAATCTAAATCAAAACTTAATTAAATTAATTCATAAAATTATTTTTAAAAAATAATATTTTTTTAATTTAAAATTCAAATATGATATTTACAATTATTTTTTTCTAAGCAGCCGTTTCTTATTAAAAAAAATCGAATCCATTTTAAGTGGCTGCGGGGCCAAATTATTCAGTCTGTGAATAAGATGTCCCACAATGGATGGTAATTGGCTATGGTAAAGCTTACCCAATGTTTCGGATATTTATAAAGAGAGCCTAAGCCCAGCTTCAAACCATGGCCTAGCCAAGGAAAGTTGAGTCCAAATATTAGGCATTTATTATAATTGGGCTATATACTGGGCTGTACTTGGTGCTTTAGGATTAGAGATTTTTTGTCGAATTACGTCAGATGAAAGGACACTACTCTACCCGGGTTTGATATTGGTTAATTGATCAGTTTGGTCTCTAAAAGACTCTTATTTGATGTATGATTGGGTGCCTTCTGCCAGCCTTTTTTGCCCAATATTCTTTCCACAAGTTTGAAAAGTTTTTTCTTGGAACAGCTGAATAACAGTTGAAAAAATTAGATAATCTCACGAAGTTGAAATGAAGAATTGCAGGGCAGCCAAGTGTAAACGCAATCTCGTTCAAGATGAAACATAAGAATTTATGAAAGTCAGGGAGAATAGTTAAAAGTAAGAAGAGCATGCTATATTGGTATTGACTTTGAAGGCCGCTATTGATTCCATTCGCTGTCATACATCCACTCATAGAAATTCGAATGACATTTGCGTTTCTTTATTTCCCATACATCTAAGGCAAGGTGTAGCATGCAAAATGACATTTGCTTTTCTTTGACCATGCAAAATTCTTCAAATATGGCTGTCATTGGCTACTTTTGAAGCCCATCCACATGTATAACTATTTCTTTGGTTTCTAGTAAAGGAATTCGATTAGAACAGCGAGTTTGGTCTGGTCTTTTGGTTGAAAAAGATAATAACGTACACCAAATTTGATGTTTGATCATGCAGCTAAGTAAAGGGGCGCCATTAAACTTAGCCTTTCATGAAAAAAATATTCCAGTTTTGCACATGCAAGACTTTGATGTATAGGGTTTATGCAACTAAATTCCATTCAGATTTCAGACTGGTTAATCAAATAGTGATCAGATCCTCATTAAAAACCAAGATTATCTTTTCTACTGAGTCAATGGAATAATCGGAGTAGCATACATCAATCCTTTCCCTCTCATTGTTGCCAATATGAGATTTATATTAGGCAAATCGAAGATAAACAAAAACAAAACTTGCACTATTAATTTGTTAATTGTCGTAGTACATTATTCCAGCATGTTCTGAATAGCATTAGTCTTGGAATTAATGAAGCCGCTTCTTGCAGCAGATCACAACTCAGGATTTAACATGTTCTCATTCAGTAACTAATACAGGAGGTGGAAATTGGGTGTAGGCTAAGATAATAAAAATGATATTACAAAAATAACAAAACTCATAAGAAATTACGTTTGCAGAATCTGAAAGCTAGCAATTGTTGCTGTGACCAGCCCCACTTCTACTAGGTCCAGAATAAGCTTGAGCTACCTTGAATGTCTTGGTTGAAGTAGGCGAAAACGGATGCTTGAGAGGCCTAGAGGCCTCCACCTCTGTTAAAAGAAAGAGGATAAGGACAATGGCGAAAATGAAGGTGGGATTCAAGGCAAAAGAGAAGATACGCTGAGCATTCTTCATCATTTCGTTTGGTTATCTACTGTTGTTGTGGTTGCTAGAGTGGTGGTACTCCGTTGGACTGACTCCAAATTTTTTGAGGCTGGTCGATACGTACAGCTCTTGGGGTATATATAGGGGTATAGAGCTGAGCTGGCAACAAAAGGGAGTTGTCCTGATCTGGCCCTGGAAATGAAGAACATTTGGAAATTCTGGAACTTTGATGGATAAATATAAGGCTTAAGAAAGAATGTCTAAATTCTTTCGATCATTCTGAATGCACTTATCGATCATATATAAGAAAACTTTAACCGAAATCCTCTTTTAAATATTAAACTATCTGTGAAGCATTGAATAAAGCTTCATCAATCGACGACATTTGCACTTTAATATATGGTCAAGTTCAAATTAAGGTAAAATAGGTTGAAACATTCTTCCCTACCCACCAGGCAGGCACAAAGATTTTGTTTGCATGTATCTGCTCACATTACACTTTGGGTAAGACGAATCTATAATAAATTAAATATGGTTATGGAATTTGAGAAAGCCATGTTGCCAAATTCAACTTGACATCAGAAATAACAGATTTTTTCACTACTACTTGAAATCACATAATAATTTGAGCCCGTGACCAATGGAAGATGTCAACAGCTTGTGCTAGCTAGCTAGTTTGGTACACATCCATGTTTGTCAATCCGCCAAGTGCGGCATGGTCGGCTCCGCCGGGTGCTTCAGGCTTCTCTGATTGTCCTTGAAGAAAAAAAAATACAATAAACATTGCTGTTCACAAGCTCTGCCGAGAATGTTGAATCGAATTGTTTATTGAGACGCATGATTCACAATCTATTGGTACAAGATTTAGCATTAAACAACCTCAAGAATCACGAGTAGCCGCAAACAACAAGAAAAATTTATGTTGAACATGAGGCGGGTCTCACATTAGACAATCATTTCTGTGCATATTATATTTTGCTTGGAATATTTCTACATTTCAAATTAACCACTATATATTTAAAGAGAAAAAAATTAATCATGAAAATCATTGTGATATATGCATTTTTGTCCTATCTACTTAATCAAAAAATAATTTATATTTTGCTTTTCAATTTAATCAAAACACTCTGTTGCCAAGTTCCAATTGTTGTATGTAATGATGTGAGAGTAATGGAATCAATGAAGAATTAGATAAGTTAT